ATTATGATGTTCTTGTTGTTCTATAATATTATATCGTTTGATTTGTTTAGACTGTAATTCTTGAGTTTTCAAACTGGCTTCTTGATTGTGAATTGAATCTAAATGTCGTTGTAATGTTGATGTTGCAGTTTTTGGACCATAAATTTTAGGTGTAGGACATAAAAGGCAGCATGGATGATTATTGCGAATTTCAAAAAATTTCCAAACAAGTGAGGTTTTTTGTCTTTTGCGATTTGGTTCAATATTATCGGACATAATGTTTTTTATTATTTGCACAAAAAAAATATTTGGAATTAAAAAAAAACGCTTAAATAATTTATTAAAACAATTATTATACATGGCGGATATGGAAAACTACATCATTATTTTGTCATTTAATATTAACTAATTTCAATTCCAAGTCATGTGCTCATTAATTTATTATTGGTCGAAACTATTTATAGAAACATTTATAACAATTACGATCTAAATCAATAAAAAATTAATTTTAAATCTTTTAATTTCAAGAAAATGACAACGATCGAAAAAATTGAAAGAGAATTAAACGATGCAAAGGAAAAGTTCGAAAAGGCGGAGAAGAAGTTGGAGAGGTTAGATGACTTGAAGAGAGGGAAGGTGGAGGAAGATTATGTTGGGGAAAAGGTGGATTTAGAAGGGAAAGAAGAGAGGCTGGAGAAAGAAAAAGAGAGGTGGGGAAACCAGATAGTGGAGTTGCAGAAGGCGTTAGTGAATTTTGGCAAAGAAGGTAACAAACAAATTGTGTAAAAAAAAAATAAATATATTTTTCATTCCATTTCGTTTATTTATTTATTTGAATGATGATTTGGTATACTGTTTATAACGTTGACTAACTTATATATTGTTCTTATAACTTTTTACTCATTCACCATTAACCCAATTAATCTTTTCCTCTATTTATTTATGACTTTTTAACAATGTGAATTAACTTGTTATCCTTGCTATAATTTACTTGTTATAACAAGGTAAGTTGTTGCTAACTTGTAAAAATAATATTTTCATACTTTAACTAATTTGTATATTATTTTCATTTTTAATCAACATTGTTTCCCTGTTTGTCCTGAATTCATACATTAAATGATCAGGTAAGAATAATTTTTATGACAAATATTTATACTTGGGAAACAAGGACTGACACATGATTCTACATTTCCCTGCTCCACAACATTACCAGAAGATCATGTCTTTCAACCTTGCAGTGATTCATTTTTTTCACATCTTCCAACAATTGTTGAAAACAACAACTGGCTTGAATTTGCCTACCCTATTCCCTTGACAGAACGTCAAAAGCTTTACATTCGTTCCAGCTACAAAGTCATTGCTAAGAATGCTTTATCAAAGGCTAGCACAAATCGTCGCAAGTATTCCATTATCAGTGGAACTCCTGGAATTGGAAAATCTATGTTTCTCTTTTATATCTTTTGGCAATTGGTGAAGGAAGGAAAGCGTGTGTTATTTGTTACCAGAGAACCTGCTATATACTTTGATGGAAATTCAACATTTGACTATCCTCAATATCCTTTGTCTTCAAATCGTCAATTCTGGACACCTGACTTATGGTGCCTTGTTGATTCAAAAGACCCAACTAACATTCCTGGATTTCCTGTTGATGCCTGTTCTGTCATTTTGTCAACTACCCCTCGAAGTGATTTTATTAGTGGATTCAGCAAGTTGGTTCCAGCTCCTCCTGTCTTTTATATGCCTTTATGGACTAGGGAAGAATTGGAAGTTGTTGCACCCCTTTACTCAAATGTAGCTAATATTTGGATGAATCGCTTTGAACTTTTAGGTGGTGTTCCTCGTCTTGTGCTGGAACAAACTGAACAAGATCCAACATGGTAACAAACTATACTTTCTACTCCCACCTCTTCACTTTGAGTCATTCACTAAGAAAACACCACAAACAATCAATCAGTTTGCAATTCTTATTCCCTATCCTGAAAATATTCGATAAGTTGTTATATTGACTGGATAAACATCATTAATTTGCTACATATTTTATTTCAGAATTTAACTCTTTACATGATATGCATTGTCATATTATATATAAATATTCTTTAAAAATCTGTTAGTTACCAATAATTTGAGTAGGAGTTATGTTTGAGTTTCAAAATTCATTCAATTGTAAATTTTATTGTGATTAGGTTATCAAATTATTAATAACATACTTAATCCAGTATTGTCATAGAATTTTTCACTAATATTTTTAAATTATAAATCATGTGCATGTAATCTTTTGTTATGATAAAATTATTTGTAAATATGAAATAAATAAAAACAAATATTCTCTTTTTTTTTTTTAAAGACTGTATGATTTATGTTATTATTTTTACATTCTAGGATTCTATACTGTTGTGGAATTTAGATCACTTAGAAGAACAATTGGGTACTTAATGTATTTTTTCTTTAAAAAAAAATAATTTTTTTAAACAGAGGTTTCTTTTGATTTGGTTAAGTAAAGTATTTTTACAACAATATTTTTAGCTGATCAAAATCAAATATCATGTTTTTATAATTATTTTACATTGTGAGTGTGTAATCTGAGTTTTACACTATGAATGTTATTATGTCACTTAGTCTTCTTACTAATGCCTTTGTTAATAGCAAACTTTAAACTTTTTCTTAACTAGCTAGTTTTCCTTGTATTGATATTAGTGTTGGTCACTAAACCATCCTTATTATTGCTGGTAGGTCTCCTCTATTTTATCCTCCAGCTGCACATGATACCTTTATCCTGTATACTGCTTCTTAGTCTGAAGGGCATCTCCTTGGATATAATATTTAAATAATTAAATATGAGAGACTTGCTTATTTAGTAAAGGTTTTCACAATAAAGAATTGGTTTTAATAAATTATCAATTTAAATTATTATTGTTGTTTAAGAATTAAGTTATTTAATGTAAAATGGTTATGTATTTTATAAGCAAAGAATTGATTATTACAATGTTATTTTTATTAAATTGTTATTTTTCTACCATGAACATGAGTTTTTAAGCTGGACAATTTCCAAGCTTATTTATAACTCTTGGAGTTATACAGATAACATGACCTTTATCTCAGTATATCCAATAAAATATGTAAAGATGAATTATTAATTGATACAAATATTTATGCCAACTGAACAATAAAAATATAAATAAAAAATAAACAAAGATAAAAAATAAGTAATATGGCTAATAATATAGATAAAATAAATGTTCTTGACATTTATTTAACGTTCTCTTCTTCTATACAGAATATTTCTCTGAAACGTGTATGGTTAGTTTGGTATAAAGATCTCCTATTGTTGCGATACATGCTCAAATTTCAAAAATTGCAATTTCGTGATTTGTTCAAAAATGCAATAAAATTTTTTAAAAAAAGGTTACACATGATTTTGGTTAAAAAACTATTTTCCTTACTGCCAAATTTAGATATGATGGTCGAGTATTAGGCTAAATTTAAGAATGATGATCAAAAACTAGTCTAAATTTAGCAATGATCCTAGCGCTCAAATTTCTCATGAGCATAATGAGCATAGTAAAGTACATGTTTTAAAAAAGAATAGAACTCTACAATAAATAATTTTTTTGAGAAAATCTCTTCATTACATTAAAAGTAGAAACCTATTTTACCAACTAATGAGGCTATTTTTTTAAAAGGTAGGACAGAAAATGACTTCTATACTTTTAAAATTTGCCTAAAATTTAGGAGATCTTTAGACCAAGCCAACTATAGTCAAAATATTTGGTTTTATCTTCCAAATCACGTGTTTACCACAGTAAATTTCTTTTAATTAAGCATAATGAGCTTGGGCTCTTGGTCAGTCCTTTTCTACTATCTCACAATATGATATTATTTTTTTTTTATTACATACTCATTATGTTATTATATTTTTAGATGTGATGATATTTAATAAGGCATGTGATTATATTTTATTCCCCTCTATAGCACATTAGCTTATAATCACATGTTTATTTCATCCTGGAGGGTTGGGTTACCATAGTATTAGCCAAAACCACTTTTTTAAAAAAAATATTTCTGCCTACCATCTCTGATCCTGATATTATCATTACATAGGTGATGCAATTTATCAACTTTATAATCATCCCAAATATTGTAATAAAGATAAATAAAAGGTTGAATAGAAAACTTACTTATTGTAAAAAACCTATAAAGTAAACATAAAATTATTTATATAGGGTTATAGGTATATGAAAAATAGTAGATATAATGGATCTATTGAATATCAAAATGCAATTGATTTTTTAGAAAAAGGTTGTAATTGTGGTTGCTCTTCAAGAATTCCCAGGAACAATTTGCAGAATTAAGAGAATCCTTTCAAACTCTTTTCAAGTCTGAACAAGACATATTTTTTTAATGACTCAACTTAAAGCAATAGATGGTGGATCAATAAGCACTAGCAGACGCCTTAAGAAGAAAACTAGGTCTAATAAAAGAACTTTCTATCATTGGGATCACAATACACTTCTTTGTCAAGAAACTTATCTCAATATGTTAGAAATTGGCAGAACTTATTTTGAAAATATTAGAAATCATCTAATAAATAATGGTCTTCTGCCAAGAATTCATGGTAATATTAAAAGAATGCCTTGATGAAAAACTAAAATGGTGATTGATAAAAATGTTGCAGAAGTAGTAAAAAATTTTCTGGAAAATTATGCAGAAGTTTATGGATTACCAAGTCCAGAAAGAAGTATCAATAGAATAACTCAATCAGTTACATTCTTACCAGCTGAAATGAGTTATAAATCTATACACAGAGATTTTCTAGCTGGTCTAAAAGAAGATAGTAATTTGAAATCTTTGAAATATGATGCTTTCAGAAAATTGTGACATCAATTGACACCAGAAATTCAAATTATGAGTCTAAGAACTGACTTGTGTGATACTTGTCAACATTTTAGAGATGGTTTACATTATAATGCTCAGCAAGAAGAAGAAGTTAAAGATTTGCTCAAAAGATTTAAAAAGCATTTGTCTAAAGCCAAATTAGAAAGAAATTATTATAATAAAAATACAAAATTAGCAGAAGAACAAAGAAAACTGGTTAACCAAAAATATTCAAAGGGTAAAATACAATATTGCAGTATTGATGCTACTCATTATAGTTATGATTGAGCCCAAAATATTCATGTGCCTCATTTAGATCAACAAGTAAGTAAAATTTATTACCTTAATCCATGTAAAGTTCATTTATTTGGTATTCAAGATGAAGCAGTAAGAGAGCAAATTAACTATGTTCTTAATGAAGATGAAATTATAGGAAAAGGTCCTAATGGCACTCTTAGTATGATCTTTGATGGAGTCAAGAAATTGAATAAAGGTGAAAAGCATTTAAAGATTACTTGTGATAATGCTGGTGAACAGAACAAAAATAACACCACTATTTGGTTTTACTTGTATTTAGTAATTTGTGGCTATTATGAAAGTATTGAATTGAATTTCATGATTCCTAGACATACCAAATTCAAATGTGATGGTAGCTTTGGTTTAATAAAAAAACTCTATAGAAAAACAAGAGTAAATTGTATAGATCATGTGTTTGCAGTGATAAAAAAGTCTAGTCCAGCTGGATTAAATAAAGCTCAGTGTTATGAAGGTGAAAGAGGTTTTCAATACTTAGATATTAAAGCTATTTTGAGAATTTATTTTAAGAAATTATCAAGCATCCAGAAATATCAACATTTTCTTTTTGAAGCATCTAATCTTGGTACAGTGAAAATTCAAGAAGTTGCTAATGGACCTTTTACTGAATTCAGTTTAATGAAAACCAAGAAAGTAGATATTTTGGAAGAAATTAGAGCTTTATCTATTTTAGTATTAACACCACTACCTTTGGATTACAAAAGGCAAGAATATCTTTATCATAATATTCACCCATTTGTGAAAGATGAATACAAAGATATTACTTGTCCAAGACCAATCTATACTGGCAATGAATAAAATATTTAGAATAAAATCACCTCCAGTATTTCATTTCTTATTACTGTCATTAAGTTTAATAAGTTTAATCTTTCAATAAATATTGCTAGCTTTTAGTAAAAATAAAATACTAAAATAATTATATACTTAATATATTCTCTAAAAAGGACATAAGTATTATTAAAGAATAAATAAATAAGAAAATCATGGTAAACATAATAACAAAACAACAAGAAAAAAACCAAAAACTATTAAACAAAATTGAAACATTAAGAAAACAATTAGCTAATAAAGAAGAAAACTTTAAACTAAGAACTTTAAATGCAGTTAACAATGTTATGGAAAGTGAAAGACCAGAAATTGCTGGCACTTTAATGATTTTAAAACAACATTTTTGAGCTTGAGATGAGTGGGTAAATATTCAAAAAGAAAATGGAGTTGAGAAAGTTATTTTTGGTAATGAATTCACTATTGATAACATTATTAAAGGATTTAGTGAATGAACATTAGCTACTTCAGATTCTTTTAGATTTACTTATGATAAAAATAAAAAACTTGAAGAAAAGAATGCTATTCTAGAAAAAAGTGCTGCTGAATTAGAGATAACCAGACAAAGTGAACATTAGTATTACCAAAGATTTCAGGGATCAAAATTTAGTCATTTGTAATGTGATTATAATTAACAGTTTTATAATATCCCATTTGATATATAGAACTATCCCTATATAAAAATAGTTAATATGAAACTCATTTATATCAGATCTACAATGGAACCTAAGAATTATAGCACCATTAGAAGTATTTTAAAGAAAGAACAAGGTGAAAAAATTACTCCTTATATTTTCAAATTAAGTGATACTATAACACTGGAGGCTTATCTAAGAAAAGAAGGGATAACTTATGAAATTTACCAAGAG